CTGCTGCTGCTGCTAAGTCGCTTCAGTCGTGTCCGACTCTGTGCGACCCCATAGATGGCAGCCCACCAGGCTTCACTGTCCCTGGGATTCTCCAGGCAAGAGCACTGGAGTGGGTTGCCATTTCCTTCTCCAATGCAGAAAAGTGAAAAGTGAAAAATGAAAGTGAAGTTGCTCAGTCGCGTCCGACTCTTTGCAACCCCATGGACTGCAGCCTACCCGGCTCCTCCATCCATGGGATTTTCCAGGCAACAGTACTGGAGTGGGTTGCCACTGCCTTCTCCATGTACCTCCTTGATATACTCCTTTTCCCACTTGGAGCCAGTCTGTTGTTTCATGTCCAGTTCTAACTATTGCTTCCTGACCTACATGCAGATTTCTCAAGAGGCTGTCAGGTGGTCTGGTATTCCCATCTCTTTCAGATTTTTCCAGAGTTTGTTGTGATCCACACAGTCAAAGGCCTTGGCATAGTCAATAAAGCAGAAATACATGTTCTTCTGGAACTCTCTTGCTCTTTTTGATGATCCAATGGATGTTGGCAATCTCTGGTTCCTCTGCTTGTTCTAAATCCAGCTTGAACATCTGGAAGTTCATGGTTCATGTACTGTTGAAACCTGGCTCAGAAAATTTTGAGCCTTACAGCATTAGCCTGTGAGATGAGTGCAATTGTGTGGTAGTTAGAGCATTCTTTAGCATTGCCTTTCTTGGGATTGGAATGAAAACTGACCTTTTCCAGTCCTGTGGCCACTGCTGAGTTTCCCAAATTTGCTGGCATATTGAGTGCAGCATTTTATATACACAGTGGAATATTACTCAGCCTTAAAAAGGAACACATTTGAGTCAGTTCTGGTGAGGTAGATGAAACTAGAACCTATTATACAGAGTGACATGAGTCAGAAAGAGAAAGATAAATATTTTATTCTAACATATATACAGAATCTAGAAAAATGGTACCAAAGAATTTCTTTACAGGGGAACAACGGAGATGCAGACATAGAGAATAGGCTTAAGGACACAGTGAGAGAGGAGGAGAGGGTGAGATGTGTGTAAAGAGTAACACAGAAGCTTCCATGACCATATGTAAAATAGATAGCCAATGGGAATTTGCTGTATGGCTCAGGAAACTCAAACAGTGGCTCTGTAGAGGGGTGGGATGGGGAGGGAAATGGGAGGCAGGTTCCGAAGGGAGGGGCTAAATGTGCACCTATGGCTGATTCGTGTTGTGGTTTGACAGAGAACAACAAAATTCTGTAAAGCAAGTATCCTTCAATACAAAAAATAAATTAAAAGAAGAAAAGTGCCAGTAGGACAAAGCATTCTTCATGATAACTTATCAGAATATAAAATTTAATAATTATATGTAAGCTTTATAATTAGATAGGCATATTATGTAATTCTAGCTCTGTATTCCTATGCCATTGTTAATGCCTAATTATGATGTAAAAATAAATAGAGTATTAAATACCCAGAAAAAAATTATATTTACCCTGAGGTTGTGTCAGCTCACAGGCCCCATCAGGGTTAGTGTAATCTTCATAGTCTTCTCTTGAGGATAAAAGGAGAGGGTGTTAGAGTCTCTCAGGCCCTAATTATTTACCTCTTCTTGGCATTGAATAATGGCTGGGGGGTGGGGGAGGAACAAGAACAGGGAATCAACCTATCAGTCTTTTTATTTCATCTCCTCTTTTTTCTTGGGTTTATATGTCTGGTCCTCTTGCAGATTTTTTGTGTGTCTATCACCATAATCTTTCTGCTCTGCATTTGGCCCAGTAACCAAACTAGGTGAGTGCTGGTTATTTGAAGAGGTTTGGTTGTAAATATGATTTTCAGAGAAAGAGACAGTGAATGAAAAACTCAAGGCTCCATTTTCTAGGAGCCATGGACTGAGTGCTACAACTTTTTTTCCCGAACAACTCAGATTTTTAAGCCGAATTTATGGTCTCCTGTACTTGGATACATGCTTCAAATGATTAGAAAGATAAACAGCTGGGTTAAGGATGGCCAAGGTAAGTGCTGTTTTGGTCATTTCTGTTAGATGTGTGGCAAGGACCCATAGCCCGAGCTTGACAAGTCGGCTTAAGTATGTGGACATTCTTGGTTTGAGAGTCTACTGCTACCATCCCTCTCTTGATCTTATTCCCACCTGGGAAGTGAATCATTTTTTAATACAATTTTCAAAGGTTTCACTTCATTTACAGTCATTACAAAATATTGGCTGTATTCCCCCTGTAGTACAATATATCCTTGTAGCCCCTTACACACAATAATTTGTACCTCCTACTCCGTGACCACTGTATTGCCGATTACCCCTTCCCCCTGGTAATCACTAGTGAAACCTCTATATCTGTGAGCTAGCTTCTTTTTTGTTATATCCAGTAGTTTGTTGGTTTTTTCTTTTTTTAATATTCCACATATAACATATCCTACAGGATTGTCTCTATCTGAATTATTTCATCTAGCTTAACACCCTCCAAGTCCATTTATGTTGCTACAAATGGCAAATTTTCGAGGACTTAGTCTTTAAAAAATTAACTCAAGAGTAAATATTTTGGGAAATTACAAAGAAAATGGCAATGAGACAATTCTGTCCTGAAATACTTCATGTTTTTCTTAGTGTAAGTGTGTATGACGTGCGCCTTCATGTGTGAGAGCAAAAAGGGGGTTTGTGTAAGATTGTGCTCACTCTCTCAGTCCTGTCTGACTCTTTGTGACCCCATGGCCTGTAGCCCACCCAGCTCTTCTGTCCATGGGGATTCTCCAGCCAAGAATACTGGTGTGGGTTGCCATGCCCTTCTCCAGGGGATCTTCCCGACCTTGGCTTGACCCCAGGTCTCCCACACTGCCAGTGGATTCTTTACTGCCTGAACCACCAATGAAGCCCAAACCAAACACAACCATGATGCACTGGCTGGAAATCAAACCGGGATCTCCTGCGTGGGAGGCGAGAATTCTACCACTGAACCACCAATGCCCCTATTGTGTAAGATTGCGTGTGGGTAAAAATATGATGGTAAAATGTATGCAAGAATGCAAGTATGGATCAAGGGAGGCTTGAGATTTTATGAACTAATAAGTGTGTGTGTATCTAAGAGTAAATGTCCTAGAGCCTATGTGTCTATCCAATGGAATATGTATTTGCAAAAAAAAATTGTACTTTTGGACAGAAATCTTGACCAAAATTGTTATTAAGTGCAAAGCATTAGGATATTATACAACTGTATAGTTTGCAGAGTGCTGGAAAAAAGTATTTTTGGAGGAGCAAAATTTAAATTTAAGTTATACCTGTTTACCACCATAGTGTGGGACTCAGGCAGTATTGGCTACACTGAATTAGGTTTGTGAATGCCAAAAAAGTGTATGGACCTCACAAATGGAAGAACAACAGTCATCATGAAGTTGAAAAAGAGTGAATAATTGCTGGGGGCAGAGACTGATATTCAACAGTGACAGAGGAAGCCAATATTAACTACCGATGTCCATAATATCATGTGTACTGTAATCCACTAACCCACAGAAAAATATGCCCTGGAAATTGGTAGTTTGTAACAACAGTATACTGTGGATAAAAAGTGATTCATGTCAGTATGGAACACTGCTTGGAAAAGCTGTGTGAAACATCAGAGGCAACCAGAGTGAATAAGATAAACTCTTTAAGGGAATGACTACTTTCCAACATATATGAGACAACCTGGCTCCTGCTGTTACCTGCTATCTTCATAACAATCTTTCTTCATACAAAAGTGTCTCACTTTGAATTATAATGAGAGCCACTTTATTTTGGGGTATATATAATGAGCTGTTGGAAGTGAGAGTGACTCAAGTGAGCCTAACATTTATCCCCCTCTGTCCTCAGGACCTGGGACTTGTGCCATCCTGGTCTGCTATGGTCCTTTTCAACCTGAGCAGTGACAACGCAGGACCCTTCATTCTGGTGGGGATCCCAGGCCTGGAGCATGCCCATGTGTGGATTGGGGTTCCCTTCTGTATCGTTTATGTTGTATCCATTGTGGGAAATTGCATCCTTCTCTACCTAATCTTGGTGGAGCGCAGCCTTCACAAACCCATGTTCTTCTTTCTCTCCATGCTGGCCATGACTGACCTCACCTTGTCCACAGCAATTGTGGTGGGAATCTCCTTTCGTAGTTTCTGCATCATCTTGCCTGATGTATTCTTGCTCACACGACTGCCTTTCTGTAGGACACGCATCATACCACACACATACTGTGAGCACATAGGTGTTGCCCGGCTCGCCTGTGCGGACATCTCCATCAACATCTGGTATGGCTTTTGTGTTCCCATCATGACAGTCATCTCAGATGTGATCCTCATTGCTGTTTCTTACACACTCATCCTCTGTGCTGTCTTCCGCCTCCCCTCCCAAGAAGCCCGCCAGAAGGCCCTGGGCACCTGTGGTTCCCATGTCTGTGTCATCCTCATGTTTTATACACCTGCCTTTTTCTCCATCCTTGCCCACCGCTTTGGACACAATGTCTCCCGCACTTTCCACATCATATTTGCCAACCTCTACATTGTTATCCCACCTGCCCTCAACCCCATTGTTTATGGAGTGAAGACCAAGCAGATCAGAGAAAAGGTCATCATTTTATTTTCTATAAAGTGTACATTATAATGTTCCACTGTGCAATGGAAAAGTTAAGAGAAGTTTTTAATGTATATTAATGTGTAAGAATTTTTTAAAAGGTAAATGTTATTTAAAGTAAGAGCAGATTTTGTGTTTTATGAATATGTTATGATTTATATGAAAGAAAGATTTTTATGTATTAAAATACTCCTTAATGACCTGATTGTTTTTGGAATATGAAATTGCACAAGATACAATCTGGAAGAAGGAGGAGAAAGCAGAGTGCTGAGTTAGTCTAAATAGAAAATAGCAATAACGATTTAGAAATTGAAATTTGTAGTTATGGAGAGAGAAAAATATGTGAAATGGAACAAAGACTCTGAAGAAAAGAGATTAAAACTGAAAATATAAAATTGAACTTTTTTGCTTAGGGGGTTATTAGATGGATTTAGGACATTTTTAATAATAAAATTCTAATTATTGTCCATGTTATGTTTATGTAGTTCACTTTAAATGTTCAACCGTTAGATACCAAAGACCTTCCAGTACAAGTCTGTTATAAATAATGAGTTCTATCAACATTGTTATAATAGGAATAAGAGAAAATACTTATCAATGCCATGGTTTTTGGGAAGGGAGAGTAGCTTTTAGGCTCCAAGACATACTAATAAAATGAACTTCAGAAATAGTGCTCAGGAAAATTGACTCCCTAGAATAACTGGAGATCTGAGAAGAGGGCTGGACTTCCTACAACATTCCTACAATACATAGGTGAGAACTCAAGCCAATATGAAAGTAAAACAAAACAAAAAAGCAACAACATTGGCTGGAAGACTTGTGGAGTTCTTATCTACAGAGTCTATTTCCTTGATTAAAAGACTCAATAGCAAAATACATTTCTTTGGTGAGGTGTCTGGATGAGAATAGGAAAACTACAGTAAAGTAATACATTCAAGGTAAGATGGACCCAAATGTCATAAGTATTAGAATTGAGAAGGTACATGTTGTAATCAAAGAAAGATGTGGAGTTCTTTCCATCTGTTTTTTTTGAAAATTGTCTATTCAACCAGGAGAATCCCAGGGACAGAGGAGCCTGGCGGGCTTATGTCTATGGGGTCGCACAAGGTCGGACACGACTGAAGCGACTTAGCAGCAGCATTCAACCAGGAATGGCTTATGTAGTACCTAATATAGTTCAAGTTTTGTCCTAAGCATTCAGGATTAATAATATGGAAGAGGCTCTGCTTTGCTTCTCTGGAGCTTATTTTCCAGGGAGAGTAACAAATAAGGAGCAAGAAAATAAATGTGTTACTTTCAAATAGTAATATAATCAATAGAAAAACAAAATGAATACAATGATGGACTAAAACTTGATGAGAAAGACAATGGCAGAGAGAACAGAACATGCAAAGACATGCAAAGGCCCTGGGGCTGAAAACAGCTTGACATGAGCTGAGGCCAAAAACAAGGTCTATGTGGTCACAACAGAGTGAGGTGGGATATGAGGTGAGGGATTAGGGGCAGGACCATATCCCGGGGGACTGGAATCATCCAGACCTCATTTTTAGAAGAGGAAACTGAAGCTCTTAGAGTGAAAATGACTTTTCCAAGGCACATGGCAAGGGAGTCATAAATATGGAGCTAGAAAAGAATCTGCTAAGTCCTACTGATAGTCCCACTGAACATAACATAACCTTACTCATGTGAAAGCAGACTCCAGAGGAAGGTAAAAAAAAAAAAATTATCTAGGAGAATCAGAGCCGATTTTTGTTGTTTTTGTATGCTAAGTTGTGTTCGACTCTTTGAGACCCCATGGACTGGAGCCCTGTCAGGTTCTTTTGTTCATGGGACTTCCCAGGCAAGAATACTGGAGTGGGTTGCCATTTCCTTCTCTCGGGATTAAGCCCTGGTCTCCTACATTATCAGGCAGATTCTTCACCACTGAGCTGCCTGGGAAGCCCATTATTGTTTTTGTGAACTGTATTTGTCTTCAATTAAGCCACAGTTGACTGAGTGAGTATTCTGTATTTTTGTGCCAGCTTGCTAAAAATGCTGTTGGATATCAAAAGAGATGATCTCTTATTCTTCTGGTTATTTACATCTCACTGAGAACATGGATTTTTCCAAGAGATGATATTTTTAAAAGTTTACTGATGGAAAACTAAATAAATAGAGACTGAGCTGGGATTATGTAAAAATACATACTTCTTTCATCCTGGTAGGAACTGGAATCTGTGGTTATTCACTGACATGCACGAATGGCTCCCTTGGAAGCTTAATGACCTAGAAAAAACAACAAAGGAAGTGACTGTCTCCGTTTCCTTCTCCAGCCCTCTATCTTTGGGCTAGTTATCTATTATAACTTTTCTAGCCTTCTCAGGAGAGTTTATTTCTATGACTTTATGGCCTCTTTGCTGATAACTCTGTATCTTAGTTTTCATGTGTAATCTTTCTGATAAATTTCAGTGCTTTCTTACCTCATAGGGTCAATACCAATATTAAAAGCAAAATGTAAGTGTGTGTGCTTTGCAGATTGTAAAATATCATTCTAATGTTAGCTTTTATGTTAGTATTTTCACTAATTACCACTAACATTCTCATGTCAGACTCATCCTATTCAAACCCAAACCTCATCATTGTTATTTAAAATCCTTCCCTTTACTGTTTATAAGAGGAGAAAACTGGTTAAACCCTGATTTGCTCTTCCTTTAAGTTTAAATGTACTGTCCTAGCTGCTAATGTCTCTTTCTGGTGAGGTTCATTATGAATATTCTATTCCATGTCAGACCATGAATGAAATTACATGTTCTGGTTTTAATGAAAAAAGAATAATTATACAAAAATCATCAGCGACTGTCTCAAACGTAAGTTGCCTTGTTCTATATCTATTCCTTTTTGCAAATTCCCATCTCTTATATTAAAGATATCTGAAACTAGCACAACATTGTAATGCAACTATACTCCAATAAAAATATTTTTAAATGACATTACCAATAGAGTCATTAGTTATTTTATCTTCCTACACTCAGAATTTAGAACTGGACTCTACAAATTGTTTAGTTGCTAGGCTATATCCGACTCTTTTGCGACCCCATGGACTGTAGACCACCAAAACTCCTTGTCCGTGGGATTTTCCAGGCAAGAATACTGGAGTGAGTTACCATGCCCTCCTCCAGGGGATCTTCCTGACCCAGGGATCAAACCCACAGTTCCTGTATTAGCAGGCAGATTCTTTATGGCTGAGCTACCAAGGAAGACCACTCCACAAATAGTAGGAATTGATAAATGTGTCCCTGACACCTTTAATAACTTAGATTATTAAATAAATTTACAAATGGTTAATGTCATATTTTCAATAGCATTCACAAAGTACAAGTTATGTGAAAGAAAATACATATAAACTGGGAGTGGAGACACTGAGCAAGTACACAACCTGCTAAAATCAAGAAGCTTATAATTTAGTAAAAGGAGCAAATCACATAAACAGGCAATTGACTCAGATAATCTTATGTATCACAAGGTACCGCAATGATTAGGTTAAAGTGCTAGGGAAGCATAAAGAAGCAAATTCAGTTAACTGGAGTCAAAGACAGCTTCCTGGAAGATTTCTGTAACTGTCTTAAAGGAGAGTTCATTTCTGTGATTGCCTTAAAGAACACAAAGAAGGTGAACCTCAAGGATAACGGGAGTTGGATGTGCCTGACAGAAGGGATGGGCTGAGCCTACATGGGAAGCCGTGTGTTCCAAAGATCTGCAAGTGTAAATTAATGGAGGCATCATCCCTAGTGGTGATGCACTGCTCAGGGGCTGTAGGGGTTGTGCAGTGAGAAATACGGGAGCTCATAAACTAGTCTTCAGTGGATGTAGGGGACTGATTGGAGTATCAGCAAATGAGGAACAGTCCTGTAGCTTGATGCGATAATCAGTATTTGAAAATTAAATCAGTCATACATTTGCTACTTCCTTTTGCAACCTAGTTGAGAGATAAGCATAGGAGTCAGATGGATATAGAAATGTGAGTTTTATTTTTGGTAGTGTTGGATTCAAGAATATGGTGTGACTATATATTCAGATTGGCTTTTACTGTTTTATCTCCAAGTCTAAACTTGGGAGGACACACCATGAATGAGTCAGAATTCACAGAACAATAATTCTAGCTCAGTTGGCTGCAGAATCACGAATGTGGATGTGCATATATGAAGACACATGTAGAGAAAGACCTCTAGATCAGCTCTTCTCAAAATGTCAGTGAGGAGTTACCACTTTTTTAATGCCCCCAAACTGTAGATTAATACTTTTGTTAAGTACAGTAAAATTAATTAGTAGAAAAATTTTAAATGTGTTTAATATAGGTCTTGTTTTTATTATTATATTCAAAAGGCATAAAATATATTATAATGCATAAAACCAGAAAAAAATAAAGAACTTACAGAAATTGTACACACTGTTTATTGAAAGCATGCATACAGGTGACTAATGTAGAGAACTTAAATTATTTCATGAGATTTTTCCATTCTGCAACTATAGTTAAATGAAAGTTATAAGTGAAAACTGAAAGCCTTATATTAAAAGCCGATATATACCTTTTGAAGCAATGTCAAGTATATCAATATTTAAATTTTTAATGTATCAAATGAGCTTACATTGATTTTGTTAATTTATCTAACAGGTTTGATTGATGACAATACTACTTCTAGGAAATAACTTCTGTTTAAATCATATTTTGTGTGTTGGTTTGATTAGTTTTTTTTGCTAATGTGAGTAGTCAGGAAACCTATCTGACAAAGGTTTATTAAGTAAAATGGCAGAGATAATTGTATAGCAATGACACCACTACAATTACATTTGCTTATCTTTTATTTATTTATTCAAGCAGAGCTACGCTTTCATTATTTTATCTTCAGTTTTATTAGTAGCCAGTTTCAATAAATTTATCCTATACTTTACAGTTGAATTCAAATGATCTTTCAGTAGAAAGAGTAAATTCTGAATCCTGGAATTTCCTATGTTCCTGGAGTTTCCTATGTTGGATTTTGTTTTGAGAAAAAAATAAAATTCAAAATATTCTATTAAATGTGTAAGGTATTCAGTGATAGTCTTTGTAGATGTGCAATATATAGCTTATAACTTTTTGAAAATTATTGTTACTTTNATCTGCATATCTGAGGTTATTGATATTTCTCCTGGAAATCTTGATTACAGTTTGTGCTTCATCCAGCCCAGCGTTTCTCATGATGTACTCTGAATATAAGTTAAATAGTCAGGGTGACAATATATAGCCTTGACATACTCCTTTCCCTATTTGGAACCAGTCAGTTGTTCCATGTCCAGTTCTAACTGTTGCTTCTTGACCTGCATACAGATTTCTCAGGAGGCAGGTTTCTATCAGGACATATTTTTACACCAAGCTTAAACCCTAAACTACATATTGTATCCTTTGTTCATAGCTTTATATACAGGTCTAAGTTGGTTGTGTTTGTCATCAAGAATGCTAAAAAATGATTATTCCTTCACATCACTTTCATATTTAAATCATGCATAAAATAATTATCATGCTGGTAATATCTGTATATTCAAGTTGCAATTATAGAAGAAAAAGTTGCCGGCTTTATTTGTCCTGTGATTTGGACTTCCATATCATTAAACTCTTAAATATACAAGATGATGTTGTGCTTGCAAAAGAGGAACCTGCTTAGAGCAGGTGCTCTCACAAGAAGTAGCGAAGTTTGGATTCCTCACTCAGAACTCCTGTCTCCTTTGCACAGCGGGCTTGTTGTTTATGGTTTCTGGGCCATAACTTAGTAACTGCTTTCAGACACTGCAGGTTAGAATATGTATGAACATGCTCCACAAGGAAAAGACTCAACATGAAATGACTTTTCTGGAATAACAAAGAACACAAGTACAATAGTATATAATATTTTTTATTTTTTCATAAACTACGAATTTTTTCTGTAATGGTATAAACACAAAATAATTTTATGTAAACTAAAAGCAAATATAAACTGTACATGAGATATTGTGAAATACCTTTCATTACTACATTCTATTGGGGTTTCCTAGGTGGAGCTAGTGGTAAAGAATTTGCCTGCCTGTGCAGGAGACATAAGAGACACTGGCTCCATCCCTGGGTTAGAAAGATCCCCTGGAAGAGGGCATGACAACCCACTCAAGTATTCTTGCCTGGAAAATTCCATGGACAGAGGATCCTGGCAGGCTACAATCCATAGGGTCGCAAAGAGTTGGACACAACTGAAGTGACTTAGCACGTACTGCAGTCTATTATGACCTCTGAATGGAAGGATGCGTTTTTTTGAGGAGGGGAAACGTTATGAAACTAATAATGTTTATTATTAGAGTCCAAAAGTGATATGGATCCAACAGAGTTTTTCCTCAGGACGACTCTAAGCCACACAGCCTTGAGTAATGCTGTATTAATTCTCCTTAATCAAATCACCCTACTAGGTGATTTACTCCTGTTACTGTTATCTTCACAACCACTTCTTTGGGAAGATACACCAACCATCACAGCACAAAGGAAAAAAATCAAGATCAGGAGATTTAAGAAACTTGTTCAAGGCTACTTAGCTATGGAATTTTATTCAAACCAGGTCTGCCTGATTCAAAATCCCAAGCTCTTTACACCCAGCTGGTTTGTTTGTCTCTTTATACGGGTAAGGCAGAAACAATGCTAAATCAAAATGACTGTCCTTGTCCATTTCTAGATGATAACTAGGCTTGTCATTTTTGTAGAGCATTTTGGTAGAGCTCATCTCCATCTGAGTTTGCTGCTGCCCATCCAATGGATTTTCAGAGACCTCTCTGCTCAGTCTCTACCTTTGCCCAGGTTCTGAATGTGTGGGGTATATAAACCTGGGGACCAGGAAAGTCAGCGGAGGTGATTATAGATCTCTGCTCATTCCTCATTAACACCTCGCAGCTGTGACTAGCAGGTTCTCAATCCCTGTAGGAGCTCAGGGTCCATGGCCCTCCGAGGGGCACAGAGAAGAAATTCATAAATCCTTCTCATCCCCACCTGCTCTCTCGCAGTCTGCCCATAGGAGCATCTTTGGAATCTCCTAGGTTCTGGGTGTGCTGACTGCTGAATGGACAAGCTGGAGCAGCAGGGACTGAAGAAGCGTTGGGTAGAGGGAGGCTGGATGCCTGGTGCTCATCCTTAACCACCGGTTTCACAACAAAGAGGTAAGAATCCTGTTCCATCAGTAGCATGAACTCATCAGTCAAGACCAGTCACATCCTAGAAAGAGTTTGGGGGCTCTTGAAAAGGTGTCTTTATCCTCTATCCAGATTTACTACGTATTAAGCCCAATACTGAAAAGTCCCACTAAAGTGCCCATCCTGGAGGAGATGCTCCCAGAAGCCCCTTAGTTTTGGTGGGAATGAGGTGTTCAGACTTTTTCTCAGAGAAAAACTTTAGAGAAGAATGGATTCCAAGAGTTACAAGAGGGCTAAGGATAAAAATATCAGTACTGCTTAACATATGCTGGGCATTCACTATATTTCAGCTACTACTGTACCTTATGTTATTTCTTTATATATGTTAATTTTTATCCCTGATTTAGAAACAACGAAAGTGAAGCATAGAGAAGTTGAGTATTTTGTTTAAAGTCACAGAGCTTTTGTGTGGCAGTACAAGGATTGGAGACTGGGTAATCTGGCCTCAGGGTAATTAATCACTGTGCTCAAGTGGGAATAAAGAGAAGCAAGGAAAATGTGTTTTCCTCTCACTCTTATCTCCTCACAAATCAGGAAGGGGATTACAAACTGTTTAAAAGAAGTTTCAAAGTGATTAATCAATTCACTCCCAAATCATACAAGAAACCTGTTGTTTGAGTTCATTTCTTGAACTCTTTTGCACTCTGCCTTCTTTTTTTCTTAAGGCTTGCTGCTACATTTTATGTTTTTTGATATTCTACCCTTTGCTGGAGGGAACACCCTGTTATAACTTGGAGATGAGGAGCAGGACTTGGCAGGCAAAGCAGAGCAGATGGAGGATAAGAAGGGTGCATCTGTGTCCGCAGAGAACCCGACACAGCGCAGAGGATGAGGCTAGAGGGAGTCCCCGGCTTCCTCCTCTTCCCCTTCACTTAGCCCATTAAAGGACATTAAAAGGGTAGAAGTGTGGGCTGCAGACATGGAGGGAATGGTGTCTTTGGGATTTTTTCCAAGAGGAAGTGGCTAGTAGGGCCCACAGATCCTAAGTATAGGACTTTCTTATAGGGCTCCCATTTGGGAATGGATTGTGCTTGCTCTGTGGTTTTGTGAGAGATGTTCTCAGACCCTGAGGGGGTTGACATCCTCCTTCCCTTGTCAAGGCTGAGAATGCCCTGTGGGTCCTAGCAGAAATTTTCCAGGATCTAAAGGAGCCTGCAGGGACCCCACCATATCAGTTCAGTTCAATTCAGCTTGGAGTTTCAGCTTCAACATCAGTCCTTCCAATGAACATTCAGGACTGATTTCCTTTAGGATGGACTGGTTGGATCTCCTTGCAGTCCAAGGGCCTCTCGAGACTTCTNGTTGGATCTCCTTGCAGTCCAAGGGCCTCTCAAGACTTCTCCAACACCACAGTTCAAAAGCATCAATTCTTCAGTGCTCAGCTTTCTTTATAGTTTAATTCTTGCATCCATACATGACTATTGGGAAAAACAGAGCTTTGACTAGACAGAACTTTGTTGGCAAAGTAATGTCTCTGCTTTTAATATGTTGTTTAGGTTGGCCATGGCTTTTCTTCCAGGGAGCAAGTGTCTTTTAATTTCATGGCTGCAGTCACCATCTGCACAGATTTTGGAGCCCCTCAAAATAAAGTACGTCACTGTTTCCACTGTTTCCCCATCTATTTGCCATGACGTAATGGGCCTGCTCCATGGTGAGAAGTAAAACGAGTCCCTGTGACTTGGCAAAGCCTCGTCTTTCGGGAGAAATCTCTGGTTTATACACAGCCAAGACTTCCATGTGGGAAAGCCTAGCCTGGTTTCTCACTTGCCTCTAATCTGCAGGAGTCAGTGTGGGGATGTGAGAGAATGTCCAAGAGGCATATTGCAGAGAAAGCTAGAGCAAACACAAATGGTGTGGAGCTTGACAGCTTCGCCCAGGGTCAAACTTTGTTCTCTGCTCACCTGACTGAAACTCCTCAGTCCCAGGAGCAGGTTAAGATACCAGTCACTATGTCTCACAAAATTCAAGGGTAAAACTTGGCCTCAGTCAGAACACGCAAAACCCAAGCTTGGCTCCTTCTTCCAGATTGTTCTTTACCCACTTAAACCCCAGTAAGTAAAATCCTCCTCCTTCCACTATTTTAACGTGACTACTAGTTGCCTTGTGGCATCTGATCCCGGTCCCTTCCACTGCAGCCCAAACTTGATGCTCTGCCATGTCCTCAGTCAGATCAGAATTCCTCAGACTGAGTTTCTGTAGAACCAGAGGATGTCCCCCTGGACAAGGGACAGAAGAAAGAAGAACCGCAAAGCAGAATCAGGGCATGGATATCTGCCCTGGTCAAAGGAGAAATTAAGTTCCATGAGCCAGGTTTACACAGTTATGGTACATCAGAGCTGGGAGTGGGGGGAGGGATGCCAAAGGCCTTGGGCAGCTGGAAAAAAAGTACTGGACAGACTGGGAGGACTGTGATGTTGGGAGAGTGGGTCTGAGCTAGTTAAGTGTCCTCTGGAAAAAGATCTAGGAAGATGAGTTTTATCTAAGCATTTGTCACAGAATGGAGTAGAAAATGGCCATTCCATATTTCCTTCCTTCTGATTGATATCTCCCCCAGGGTGAAGGGAACATGGATGCTTAATCCCTTTAACATCAGTTACTATTAAAGGGATTAGGGTTAGATAACAGGAATGACTTTTTCTGGGACAGGTGATCAGGAAAAGCATATTCTAACATCTCCGTGAGCCTGGGCTGATGAAGAGACATTTGATCCAGAGAAGACTGTTGGAAGAGCATCATCTTTAGTCAGATGAGTCTTGATTCAAATTCCAGTTCTTTTATGTACCAGATGTATGACTTGGAATAAGTTTTTTAGCTTCTCAGAAACGAATTCCTTGATCCGTCACACAGAGGGGAACATTGACAAACTCACAATTAGGGAATTTGTAGGTCAGTGTATGCCAAAGCCCTAGAACAGTGCCTGATACAAAGATAGCTCTCAGCAAATGCTGTAGCATCCTCAGTCCCCATCCTCACCTCCACCTGTCTAAAATCTCTGTAGACCTGGTGATTACCTCTGAAAGATCTCTTTTGTTTCCTGCAGTGACAGAGCCAAGTGGAACCAGGAGATGGGGCTGGATCCCACACTGCCTGCTCTCAACCAGACCTGGCTCAGCTCCGGGCCTGGGACCTTTGTCCTGCTGGGGGTACCGGGAATGGAGGCCTTGCATGCCTGGCTTTCTGTACCTGTGTGCCTACTGTACATGGCAGCTCTGGTGGGGAACGCCCTTCTTCTGGGGCTGGTGGCAGCTGACCAAGCACTTCGGAGACCCATGTACCAGCTACTGGGGCTTCTGGCAGCAGCTGACTTAGTTCTGGCTACATCCACAGTGCCCAAAGCTCTGGCCGTGCTGTGGGGCCTGTCAGGCGAGATCTCCTTCCAGGCCTGCCTTGCCCAGCTCTTTGTTGCCCACGTGGCCTTCATTGCTGAGTCCTCCGTGCTGTTGGCCATGGCCGTGGACCGCTACGTGGCCATATGCCAGCCTCTGCGCTATGCGGCGCTGCTGACTCAGCGCGTGGTAGGCATTGTGGCGGTAGCTGCTGTGACCCGTGGGGCCTGTGTCATGGCGCCCCCGGTGGTGCTGCTCCGGAGACTGCCTTACTGTGGGCAGCGGGCCCTGCCCCACACCTACTGCGAGCACATGGGCGTGGCTCGGCTGGCCTGTGGTGATACGCGCCCCAACGTCTGGTACGGACTGGCCACCACGCTGCTCACTCCAGTCCTGGACCTAGGGCTCATAGGTGCTTCCTACGCCCTCATCCTCCGCGCGGTCTGTCACCTGCCCTCCCACGGCGCCCGGCGCAAGGCCCTGGGTACCTGCGGGGCCCACGCCAGTGTCATCACCCTCTTCTACACACCCGCCCTCTTCTCCTTCCTGGCTCATCGTTTCGGCCGCCACACGGTGCCCAGCCACGTCCATATCCTCCTGGCTAACCTCTATGTGGTGGTGCCCCCTGCCCTCAATCCCGTGGTCTACGGAGTGCGGACCCAGCAGATCGCTCAGAGGGTCAGGCGCTTGTTTCGGCTCTGCTGGGCAGGACCAGTGAGGGATGTGGGCCCTGCGAGGGCCTCCCCCAGGAACAAATGAGCACCCTGTTTTCTGCAGCATTTTCCCTCAGTTGGTCAAGCTGGCCTGCAGATTCCATCAAGGAAGAGCTCTAAGCAAGGCGTCTCCATCATCGGCCACTAGGTGGCGCTAGGCTCACCCCAGCCCTCTTCCCATAAAGGGAGAGTGGGTGGTACTGAGGGCAATTGAATTGACCTCTCTCCCGGCCTGAGGCTTCTGCGCCAAGACTGTTCCTCCTCTTTCTAACCCTGTGGGGTCTCCATAGATGCATGGCGCACATTGGGCCTGGATTGTGGCAGACAGGGAGGCCCAGGACTCAGGCTGCTCATCAGGGTTTTGTCTTTTTTTTTAATCACTGTCCATCCAGAACCAGATGAGTGAAAGAAAGGTGGCTCTGAACGGGGCCTGTGTCCAAGGTGTGACGCTGAGCCCGAACTCTGTGTTGCTGAAGGGATGAAGACGCGGGAAGCTAGGGAAATGTCACAATAGGAATAAAATAGAGCTCAACTCGAAACTGACACAGTTTCTGACCTGGGTGATTCATATCTAAATCTTGAGAGACATTGTCTCTGGGGGCAGAAGGGAATGGACAATATTGTGACTGTCTTCCTAAGGTGTTTCTTCACTTTACTCAGAGACTTCTCCTGCTTTTCTATCTAGTACCACACATCAGCTTTAATTGACTAAATATAGGGAGATGACCCAGCGGCACAAGTTGTCCTATTGCACATGCGATTTCTTCTTCCACTTTTCCTTCCTCCCCAAAGCTCTATTAACCTAGACACTGATTCTGGATAGGTTTCCCACTCCATGCATCTCAGAGCTTTCAACTCATTTCTCTTTTATCTCCCTAACCTCTATGGTCCCTCTGGACCCCATGGTTATAGCAAGGCCCAACCAGGGGAGTTGATGGAAGATGGATCCCTGGCCTTGGTCAGAGAGCCAGAGGATGATGATCTGTAAGTGAGATTGGGAGTATGATCCCTCACTGAAGATTTCCCAGCAGACCCCTGGGCATGTCTTTCTGGAGTTATACACTCACCTAAGCTCTTGGATCCTTTCCTTAAAAGGGGAAGTGGTTTCTCCATAAGCTACAACAGTCTTCCCAGACATGCAGCTTGGCCCTCATCCAAGAGTACATGGCTAAGTAAATGAAGTCAATAGGAAGACCATAATCTCCTCTGAAAAGAACCCATCTCAAGGCCCCCACAGGATGTCTCAGGTTTGCCTTAATCTGTTTGGGCAGGAGGGCCCAGCAGGAATGTGCAGATCTCAACTTAGAATGGATGAGAAAGACCATATTTGTAGTGAGAAACTCACTCCCACCCTATCTATGGAGGCACCTGTCTGTCTGGCTGTCACAGCCCTATTCTTCCACACCCTACCCCCGGATCCTCCCCACACCCTCACTTACTCTCAGTGCCTTCAGATGCCCAAACCTGGGCCCCTCCTTCTGGAGGTGTTTACTGTTTACTCTGACCAGAGATAGAGTCTGGGGAAGTTCAAAGGTCTTACTCCACTTCTACACCTAGTGCAAGATGCAGCCTATCCTAGCCCTCCTGACCATGATGCCGTGGCTGCCCCAGGAGTCCCCAGGACAGCCTCAGGTATAGGTGGAGGGGAGAACGTCATGAGCAAGTAGAGACAGGGCTGTGCTTTGGGATCCCTTTCTTCATTGCTCTGAACCTTTTCAAGAAGCTTTGTGGGAGAAAGTGAAGGCCGAGAGACCTAGGGACAGGTGGAAGGGGTATGAGATACCCTGCCTGCTCTGACTATCCCTTGGTTTGGGTGGGCACAGGGTGAGAGAGGGAAACAAGGAGGGAGGGGACAGAGAGAAGGATTCTGCTGTGTACCCCTGACATTTTCTGAGGCCCTGGCTTTTGCAGAGGTCTGCCGCCCCTTCCCTGAGCTCAGGATGCTGGACATAAAGGAGGCTCTCTGGGCTATTGTAGGCTATGTAACCTCTGCTTCATTATCTGAAAAAGCCAAGCTACTGGGTTAGGGTTATAAGCTGAAGACATAGCCAGATTAACTACCAGGGCCATAGAAGCTTTGGGTGTGACTATTCAGAGAGCAGTGGCCACACATGTTAATTTTTAAAGATTCTGTAAGGAAGCTTCAGCTGGCACCACAGGCCTAACCAACAATTTGGGAAGGAGTCTTCCATCTAGTGCTGGTCCATCTAGCTTCAAAGTGAGACTGGAGAGATGAACATAGGGAATTATAAGAACTAACATAAATGACTTCAGAGACTTTTTTAAAATTGGAGTATACCTGCTTTACACTGTTGTTAGCTTCTGCTGTCCAACAAAGTGAATCAGCTATATGTATACATGTATACTCTCCGTCTTAGATGGCCCCCCTCCCCACCCCACCCTTCTAGATCATCACAGAGCACAGAGCTGAGCTCTTTGGGCTATGTAGCAGGTTCCCACTAGCTATTTATTTTACACATGGTAGTGTATTTACTCAATCCCAATCTCTTAGTTTGTCCCACCCTCCCCTTCCCCCATTGTCTTCACATGTCTATGTCTCTATTCCTGCCCTGGAAATAGGTTCATCCGTACCATTCTTCTAAATTCCATATATGTATATGTCAATATATGATATTTGTTTTCCTCTTTCTGACTTACTTCATTCTGTATGACAGTCTCTAGGTCCATCCATGTCTCTGCAAATGGCACAATATTGTTCCTTTTTATGGCTCAGTATTGTTTATATATATGTACCACACCTTCTTTATCCATTCATCTGTCAATGGACATTTAGGTTGTTCCCATGTCCTGGCTATTGCAAACAGCGCTGCAGTGAACATTGGAGTAAATGTGTCTTTTGACGTTATGGTTTTCTCAGGGTATATGCTTTGTAGTGAAACTGCTGGGTCATATGGCAGTTCGAAAAACATAGTCTTTACATACATTTATAATTCTTAAAATAAAAGTAATCATCCTCATTTACACACAAGGACTGGAGCACAGAGAAACTAAGTGATTCACACAGTGTCATGGAGCCAGATGTGGAACCCAGCTGAACTGGCTCTGGAGTCAGTGGGTTTGGTCTCTGACAATGTAAGTAAGATGATAGGCAAGGGAGAGAAGACCTCTAGATATGCATCTCTCATCACTAGAAACTTCTCCTCTCTCCCTGTTCTGCTGAGGCAAGAGAGCTGCCTCCCACATTCACCATGTCTGCTACATCACACACCTCCCTTAACAGAGCTTGGAGCTCCGCTCCTCAGGAGTAAAAGCACAGGGCCTAGACCTGGGGACACTTATAGGCTGGTTTCCTACTAGTCATGTGGTTAGTAAAGCTGCTTTTTAGATTCTCAGCACCTCAGTTCATTCAGCTATACAACGTCAATTACAAGTCATACCTCGTCACCTTCTTGTGAATGCTAATTGTTGCAAGACTCTGGTGCCCCATGGTGCTGTTAACATTCACTTTCCTCCTTTGACAATATAGAACTCCTGCCATCTTCAAGACAAAGTGAAGTTGTGGAAATGTACTAAAACTCTATAATGGGGTTGCTGAAGCCCTTAAACTTGATAACTTTTGGTGAATGGTGTCGGATTCATGATCTTTGAAGAAGAAGATTTAGATTTAGCTTCAGGACCAGGGACCAGACTTGGTCAGTCAAGAGCTTTTGTGTAGCAGAGTTTTATTAAAGTATGAAAAGAGACAGAGAAAGCTTCTGACATAGACATAAAAAGGGGGCCAGAGAGTGCCCCCCTTGCTAGTCTTAGCAAGGGAGCTATATACTTTTTAAATTGGTCATTACAATAAATCAAAAGACTGTCTTAAGTTTGTAAAGGTTTTACCAGACCCACTCCCACAATATACATTTTAAGATAATGGGATTAGAACTAAAAATAGAAAGACCTTACCAGACCCCCTCACACAACATACACTTTAAGATGACAGGATTATTCAGAAGGTTCTTAAGAAGAAGAAAAATGTTCTCGAGCAGGATACATTGTTGTCATATAATCATTGGTACAGAGTTTAAGGGCAAACATATCCTTGAGCAAGGTGAGTTGTTTTGTTGTGTAATTACCAGCTCTGGACTTATCTATCCCTTTCTCCTCCTTGAGAACTCCAGACCCCTATCTCCTCCCTGAGAGCCGAAGACCCCTTTCTCCACCTTGGGGACCCCAGACTTCTTATCAACCTGTCTAGGAATTGACTCCCTCATACTGGTCCCCTAAAACTTTTCTTTAGACCAGTTTTCCACTCAACTACAGAGCATCAGGAAAAAGTCTGCTTCCATTATGTGAAGATCCAGCCAGTACATGAAGTAGGGCGTGAGTTGCCCTACCAATAAAATATGGAAGGGAACTGCACTTTAATTCCAAGAAATCAAGGCAAGGACCTCTCAAACCCATGACAAGGATGCCTAGATAGTCAAGAGCAACTTCCTATGCAGAGAAAGGTCTCAGGCACTTCAGAGCAGGGTCAGCCTTGTCTCCCACTTTTTTATGTTTAATGCACTAGTGGCCATGTTTTACAATGGCTGAGTAGTATACCAGTCCGTGTGGATGAGGATGGCTTATGCCATGGTGTGGTTTAGCTGCCGAACTACCTCATCCACCTGCAGCAGCTGGAGCGGCTACAAAGTACAGCCCAGAAGCTATGGGCATGTATGAGCAGGAGTTGTCCAAGGTGAGTGCTGGAGCCTTGAGTTGGGGCTGCCAAACTGTAAGTTATACAAGCACAGCCTCTCCTGCATGGAGCTCCTGCATCCAGCATGGATATGAGCCTGGATGATAGAGGAAGAGCTGAGGATGGATCTTGAGTACTGTTTTAGGATCCTCACTGGTCATATTTTATAGAAAGGCTTATGCAAGAAGTATTTTTTATGTTAATGAATAAGTTAATGGCTAGAATCCACTGGGCAATGGAAAGAGCTTATAGAACAAGAAGAGACTTGGAAATGAAAGGACCAGTACAAAGGAGGGGCTTCCCCGATGGCTCAGATGGTAAATAATCTGCTTGTAATGCAGGAGACATGGGAGACAAGAAAGTTTGAGCTGAAAAGCTAAAATAGGGGCAATATGTCAAAAGACTTGTGAGCCAGGCCAGTGAGCTTGGAATTGATGCTGTGAGGATGGGTGAATAAAAATATTGCATCAGCAATGTGATACTGGCAGTTGCTTTCTATAATGGTTACTTGTGGACCTTCTGGGAAAGGTTGCTGGAATAGGATCAGATTGCAAGCTATGAGTCAGTGCATTCCTGAGAGTGGGGTTATAACCAGATAAAAGAAGAGAGAATGTGGGTGGTGCAGGAGCAAGAGTTTTTTTTTTCCTTTTTTTTCAGTGAAAATAATAAGAGTGTCCTCAGCTATGAGATGGGGATAGCAACTTGGGCTCACCTCAAGGGCTCTTACTGGAAGCAAATTAGGTGGCAGATATGAGGGTATTTTGTAGACTGTGTGGCACCAGGAGGATGAGCCACAATGTTCATCCCCCCATGTCCAGGTCAGTGAGCATGCATTTGCCACTGAAGACCAGAGTAACCAGGTCTTGGAGATGAACCACATCCTAGAACCCAGGAATCCTGCTGCCCTTGCTGCTTGCTGTGAGACTCCAGCTTTCATTCTGCTGTGCCTGGAGCTGGAGGGAGTTCAGGAGTTGGTGATCGAGCTTAAAGTCAGGGGAGAAGTGGGTGGGACTAGGGATGATCTCTATCATCTGGAGAGCCAAGTATGTGGATGGATGAATAAATGTTTGTTGCCTCTACAGCCTTCCATTTTATCTAATCTCAAGAATCTGCCAATTTCCAAAATCTCTTCTTTCTGGGGAAGAAAACCCTGAGCTGAGAAAGAAGGGAAAGTGAGTTCAGTTCTGAGTAACACTCTGTGACCCACATCCTTGCCTTTGCATTTCCACAGGTAGCTAATGTCAACTTCACACTCAGGCTTCTGGCTGACTCTGACCAGTGAACATTTCATGCTGTCCACCAAGACATGGATGTCCTTGAGAGCCAGCTAAGGGAGTGTGAGAGTGAGAAGGAATAAGAAAAGACTTCCAGACACCTTGGTTCACCCCTTCACCCTAGTGAGGCCTCACACTGAATTTCCCAAGGTCTCCTGACCCCAAGAGCAGAGTTGGGGATGCCGGGTTCACTATGGTATACTGAGGGGGCTGAAAGGTGGGCAGTAAAGATCCTGATGGAGAATAAAGCTTTCATTTCCTTGTTTGGTATGTCTTAAAAGGATGCAGACTGAGACAGATGCACTCTTGAACGTAAGCATACCCATACACAGACATATAAACACACCCATAATGGAAACAACTGAGTGACTAAGCACAGTACAGCAATCAGACATACACACTAAACTTTATTCTTGCAAATCGTTTCTCTTATACACATATAAATGCATTCAGGTATATGGACACTCACTCAAATGTACACATAGTTTTGACAGTTTCATAGTCTGATTCCCGTGTGCTATATGCTTCACTCCTAGCTCATACCTTACCTGACTCTTCTCTAAGTTCCCGGGCCCACAGAGGCCTCCAGAAAGTCAGCAAACCCCTTGTGGTGGTGGTTTAGTCACTAGGTCGTGTCTGACTCTTGTGACCCCATGGGCCTTAACCTACCAGGTTCCTCTGCCCATGGGATTCTCCAGGCAAGAATACTGGAGTGGGTTGCCATTTCCTGCTCTAGGGGATCTTCCCAACCCAGGAATCGAACCCGGGTCTCCTGCATTGCAGGCATATTCTTTACCAACTGAACTATGAGGGAAGTCTGTCAAACCCCTTGTGGTACAACTTAATTGGATCGATTTCTTGTACAAGACAAGTGCCTGGGGCCGAGACTCAACACCCAGCCCAAACTCTTCCTTCTACTAGGTGGCCTCTCTGCCTGCAGATGCCAGGTGAGTCCAGGATAATTTCTCTTCTGCAATCAGGTTTATTCCAAAGGAGTCCTACTATACCCTAACAGGTTTCTTTGTAGCCCCAGTTCATCTTCCTCTTTCTATTTTAAGTATGCCCCTGGATAGTCTTAGCCAAGGCCTGACAGGTCACCTCCTAAAGCTCCTTTCATGGGTTATGGATGGTGCAGACTGCCCCAAGCTTCCTTCATAAACCCACTGTGTGGAATTTCTAATCCCATCATAATCCAAAGCAGTTGTATCCCCAGCCTGGTCTTATCTCAAGAACAAATTTTTCTATACCCAGCGCTCTTTAAACTTTCCTTACAGTGCTTTTACTATAATTAAATGAGATAATGCATGTATAGTGCCCACTGGGCATCATTGCAGTTGATTTTAATATTATTACTGTTACCACATTTCTTTCTTTTTTGTTTTTTTTTACAGATATATGTTGTCATAATATATTGTAAGTAAAAGAATTGAGATTACAAGTCAATTCTGGTTGACTTCCAAAACCCAAACTATTAGGACACTCACTTGGTCTTTTATTTTTAGTATTTTATTTATTTATTTAGTTGCATTGAGTCTTATTTGGGATCTTTCATTGTGGCACTTGTGCTCAGAAGTTGTGGTGCACAGGCTTAGCTGCCTTGGGGTAGGTGGAATCATAGTTCCCTGACCAGGGATCAAATCCATGTTCCCTGCATTAAAAGGCAGATTCTTAACCACTCGACCACCAGGTAAGTCCCCGACTTCTCTCTCTCTTTTTTTTAAAGCCTTTTTTAACCCTGATGATCTTGGTGTGAGGTTTGGCCTAGGTGCTTCGACTACTATTGGCGATACAAATCCTATGAAGATCTGGTGCTGCTGCAGAACTATGAGGATAGGAAAATGGGCTACGGCGATGGTGGTGGCAATACTTTATACAAGAACTTCATGTACTTTAACTTCTATGGCACAGCTGACATGGCCAAGGTGAGCCTTTCTTCTAATACCCTGGTGCTACCGTGTCTGCTGTCCGGTGCCACCTACAACAGCTGCTTCTCCTACGTGGGTGTGCCCTGGAAGGATTTATATTTTGCTAGTGATGATAAGGGGCTGTGGGTGCCCTATGCCACCAAGGTGGCCGCGGGTTACCTGGTGTGAGTCATTTCAATGCCAGTACTCTACAGGTGGAGAAAACCTGGCATGCCAACCAGTACAAGCTAGCCACATAAGGGATCTTCGTGGCCTGCAGGGTGCTAAATGCCTTACACCCACTGAACACTAGCCAGGAGGAGATTTTTTATGTTTTTGGTACCACCACGGAGTGGGAGTGCCGTCTCAGGATCATGTTGGATAAGATGCTGGAGACACCATAAGGCATTAATTACTAACCTTCTGGTCACAGGTTCTATGTCTGCAGTGATGGTTTCCTGATTATTTATGACCTCGGCTTCCTGGCATTGCAGCATAGGTTACCGAGACCACCAACCAAAAGGCCCGTTGGGGCTTGGGCACCTCCCAAAGCTGTCAAACTGAAGAAACCCTCCAGCCCCTGAGACCTCAGGGCAGAGGATTTATAGAAGCATGGCCTTCTCCTCACCCTCCAGGTGGACCATTCCTCAAAATGGTCATCAGCTCTAATGATTGGGATATATTGATTATATCTAGTTAGTTCTTGACAAAAAAATATCTCAATCAGCACATTAAAGTTCTCTTTAATAGTGATCTGGGGCGATCTGATTGAAGTTTCATTGGGAAATGAAATATTAGTTGGGAAATGTTACCCCTCTTTACCAGAAACCTAGTGTAGGAGCTGGATTCATAGTTTTTAAAATAAATTTTCATAGTTTTAAAAACTGTGATTCCAACTCTTCCAGTTGTAGGAGTCTGTTGAGCTAGGTTTAGAATTCTTTATGTCTGAGGCTGAGATCCTCTGGCTCCAGTGCTGAAGATACAAGGGAGTTGATCATTAAAGTGAGATGTGGAGGTTTCTTATCTTACCCCCAACCTCCTATGCTGTACCTGGGAGAAAAAAGACAGTATCTTTGTGTGAAAATTAATGTTTCAGTGCCCTGATCAATTTCACTTTGAATGCAGTTGAGCGAGGGCCTTAGACCTGAATCCTGCTCTAGGAATTAAGCAATGGAAGGCTGAGACATGAAGAACTCTGACATGGATTGGGCTAAAGGTCCAGACCTCCTATATAAGGAATCATTTGATATGATAGCAGAAAGTCTGCTGGCTGACTGTCATTAGTTTCTTTGCTCAGGCCAAGACTGTCTGCTTGTACTTATCTGATGTATGTTATCTGATGATGATATGATGTACCTCCTGTCCATGCAGGTACATGGAATGTTCAAGATTTTAAACCCTGAAGTCTTCTCAATCACACAGAGGATACCAAAATACTTCACACACAGTCTCATGCTTACACTTTCACATATACATACATTTACAAATATTGTATCCAAATTAGACATGCATTCCCACTCTTCATATACAGTATTTCCATCCATACCCAAATATCAATAAACATAAAAATGCTTTAATATGTCCTTTAACAGAAAATTCATCTGCTATCCAAATAAAAAACAAAAGATGTTGGCTTTTAGATGCCTAATCCCTGTTAGGAATTTGACTGCTAAGTCAACTCTATGCTCACCTCTTGATTTACAGACAAATTTCCCCCTTAATGAGAGCTTCCCTGATGGCTCAGATGGTAAAGCGTCTACCTACAATGTGGGAGACCCGGTTTCAATCCCTGGGTTGGGAAGATCTCCTGGAGAAGGAAATGGCAACCCACTCCAGTATCTTGCCTGGAAAATCCCATGGATGGAGAAACCTGGTAGGCTACAGTCCATGGGGTTGCAAAGAGTTGGACACGACTGAGCGACCATGACTAAGCAGTCTGTACTTTTAATAGTTGTATTCTGAGAACTTTGCCCTCTATCTCCTGTAAAAGCATCTTGTTTTCTTTTATTATGAAGACCCAGACTCCCCAGATAGGTTTCCTTTCCCAACTAGTTCAGCCAGAGACTGTGAGGCTTGGGTTGACATCACAATATCCCTTTTCTCAAGAGCTGTGCTTTTGGTGGGTGGGGCCGGGGGAGGGGTGGCCCTGGCATGTGTGATCGCCACTTAGCCTACCTTATATCAAGTATGAATTAGTAGCCACTACGGGCCTCAGCTGGGCCATATCTGGAGAACTGGGGTGGGGGTACAACATCATAAAATACCTGGCCCCAGTCTGGCCACCCATCCCCTTTGGGGCAACAAGGAAGCCAGCCTGTGGTCTGAGAACGCAACACCTGAAACGGAGGCCAGAGGAAGTATTTGCCCGCCCTCACCCCTCTGCCCCTGCTTCCACCCCATCTGCCCACCCTCTAAGGACCATGCCGCATGTCATCGCTCGAACACTCAGGATGGCCCAGTGTGGGCATCATTCAGGGCTGCCTGCAGAGAAGATCTCTCCGGGTGTCACTATGGTGATAGTGAAGACACCAGGCAAGCAGGAAGACTTTGTGATAGCCAGTGATACCTCGGTGAGGCAGTTCAAGGAGAAGCTATCGGCTCACTTTAAATGCCAAATGGACCAACTAGTGCTTGTCTTCATGGGCCGCCTTCTCAAAGACCATGATGTGCTGAGCCAGAGGGGCATCCTGAATGGTCACACCATCCACGTAGTCATCAAGTCTAAAAATGGCTCCAGATCCCCAGCCCATTTCTCCCAGGACCTGTCAGCCAATAAACCCTGCCACCAGGACAAAAACACCAAAGGAAACAGCAGTGGGGAACACCAATCTGCTGGTGTGGGTTACACCGCAGTGGAGTCAGCTCTCTCAGAGGATGCACCCAAGGTGCATACCCAGGACTTGAAAGTGGGTAGTCTAGAGTGCATAGCACAGATACTGGAGAATCCTAGCATCAGGCAACTCCTGTCCAACACAGACTTCATGAGACAGTTCATCTCAGAACACCTAGACATGCAGCAATTGATGCAGCAGAACCCAGAGGTCTCACACAGCCTTGACAATTCTGAGATCCTGTGGAAGACTCTGGAGCTGACCAGGAACCTGGCAGTGATTCAAGAGATAGTGCAGATCCAGCAACCTGTACAGAATCTTGAGAGCCCACCGAACCCACAGTCATATGTAGGCTTAGAGACTGTCCCAGGATGGGACAATGCCTCAGGTCAGAGTTCTGCTGATTTCAATCATCAGATGCTCAACAGTGCACAAGATCCATTTGGGGGCAACATTTTCACAGCTCTCCTGGGAGGACAAGTGCCAGAGCAAGTCCAGTTTTCACTCCCGTCTCCACCACCATCCCAGGAATGGCAGGAACATCTCCAACAGCCCCCTACAGCCCGAGTCATCCATGCTAGTTCTCGAGGTGTATCTTCAATCACTTCAGCCAATTCTACCCCCAACATGGCAAATCATACTTGCAGGGCCAGTACTTCTAACCCCACTAATGGTCAGAGGCATACTTGTGCAGTGGAGCAGCCAACTGGAATACCAGATTTACCTAGCAGAGAGCTCAACCAGCTGCCCCAGGCAGAAGACAGAGATGACACCATTTCTATAGATAGCTCTAGCCAGAAATTAGATGATCTCCAGCAGTCAAATGAGCAGACCAGCTCCCAGATCACAGGAAGCATGATGCAACTGCTTTTGAACAACCCTTCCCTGGCAGCCCAGATGATGATGTTCATGAGTGTGCCCCAGCTGAGTGAACAGTGGAGGCAGCAACTGCCTGCATTTCTGCAGCAGACTCAGTTTTCTGATATGCTTATAGCTCTAGCCAACCCTAAAGCATCACAAGCAATACTGCAGATTGAGCAGAGTCTGCAGCTGTTGGCCACTGAGGCTCCTATTCTTCTACCCTGGCTTGCCTCCTACTTATGGGGCCTGGGCTGGCTTCCTGCGCCCAGCTGCAGCTACCCTGACACAGTGCCCGGGGCCTGGGATGTGCCCAATACGGCTGAATCTAAAGGACCTGAGTCCTGTCCCAAATCGGGAACAGTCCTACAGAGGCTACAGTCCCTAGCTGGAGACACTTCCCACCTTCTACAAACCCCTGAGACTTGTTTCAGCAAGCAAATGGAATATCTCCAGGCCCTGGGATTTGCAAACCACCACGCCAATCTTCAGGCCCTCATTGCCACCAAGGGAGACACCAGCGCTGCCATCCAGAAGCTCAGGAGATCCCAGGGATCCTAACCACTGGGTCTACCTCTTTGCTTTGCTACCTGCCTGCCAACCCATTTGACTACCTCATCTGCCTTCATCTTTTCTGGTGCTTCCGGTGCTTCAGGAGAAGTCCTAGAATGGGGAAAACCAAACAGTGCTTTCTTCACTGAATAATAGACCATTGGCCATAGCTGAGAGATCTGTCAATAAAATGGCTACATCAACTTGACCCCATCTGAAGTTTGGCCATTTTTTTTTTCCCAAAAAAGGCAATTGTCAATGTGTAATAACCCTACTTCATGTACCATACATGCATGAGCACACACACACACACACACACACACACAATCACATGCATATATTGAAATAGAAAAGCATATTTGCACCCATAGAATTACATGTACAGACATCATGCCATGCTCATATATTCAAGAACATGCACATATAATCTCAAACACATATGCACACATGGCTAACAGCCAAAGATTCACATATATAGGCATATAAAGTCACCACACAGTATACATAATTATGTGTATAGACAGCTTCACACAAATACTTAGAGACCCAAAACAGACCCACATGTAGGGAAGACAGTCATAACATACTCATATGAAAAGAGGGAACTACATGTATGTGTGTTCAGTGGTGTCCAACTCTTTGCAACTTCATGGACTACAACTTGGCAGGCTCCTCTGTCCGTGGAATTCTTAAGGTAAGAATACTGGAGTGGGTTGCCATTTCCTACTCTAGGAAATTCAGCTGAATGTATAGCTACATGAGGTGTTGATAAGTGCTATAAAGAAAGATGCAGTGGATAAGCTGTTCTAAATGGGGGATCATCAAGGAAGGCCTCTCTGAAAGGAGACAGAGTAGAAATCACAAGGACTTGGGAGAGCAAAACATACAATTCCAGGCAATGTTCCAGGCAGAGAAGGCTGCATAAGAGGAAAAACTGTGAGATAAGAGTACTCTTGTTGTGTTTGAAGAACAAGGGATGGTGTAGCTGGAGAGGAGTGAACTTAAAAATGAGGGGGAAAAGAGAATTATTAGAAATCATGAAGAGCTTTGTAGATCTGGTGATCACTTTGGATTTTACTAGAATACACAAAAAAAACATTGCTAGATTTTAGCAAAGGGATAGAGTAGTTCAATATGTCAGTCTGGCTGCTGAGAGGGGAATATTGTTGGAGAAGAGAAAGCTGGAAGCAGGAACACTAGTTCTAGCATGTGAGAGACAGTGGTGTCTGGGACTAGGGCAGGAGCAGAGGACGAGGTGAGGGATATTCAGTTTTGTGTGGTCCTCACAGGTCACCCATCCTTCAGCCCCAATGTAATCATCAGCAAGAGTAATGGAAGCTCCATTAAGCTCCCAGTACTTCAGTAAATCTGCTGACAAAGATCCCACTCCACCATGACCTATCAAAAAGAAACAGGTCAAAGAAATGAAGTGAAGTGATAGTCACTCAGTCATGTCCAACTCTTTGTGACCCACAGACTGTGGCCAGCCAGCTCCTCTCTTCATAGAATTCTCCAGGAAAGAATACTGGAGTGGGTAGCCGTTCCCTTCTCCAGGGGATCTTCCTGACCCAGGGTTTCCGTCGTTGCAGGAGGATTCTTTAACTATCTGGGCCATCAGGGAAACCTGACTCAGTTGGTAAAGAATCTGCCTGCAATGCAAGAGACACAGGAGATGCAGGTTCAATCCACGGGTAGGGAAGATCCCCTGGAGAAGGAAATGGCAACCCACTCCAGTATCCTTGCTTGAAAAATCACCTGGACAGAGGAACCTGGTGGACTATAGTCCAAAGGGTCACAAAGAGTCAGACACAACTGAGTGACAAAGACTCAGAGTTGGAGAAATGCAGGGCAAGTTCCAATCTAACTGAGAATACTGGAGCGGATTGCCATTTCCTTCTCCCAGAGATGAAACCTGGGTCTCCTGCATTACAGGCAGATTCTTTACCATCTGAGCCACAGAGAAGTTCCCTCAAGAAAGAAAACTATAGCTAGAAACAGATTTTTCACCTCCCCATTAAGATCTCTCTATTAATCCAATTAAATCTTTTATCCTCAGTTTACATAAAGAGCCCAAATTCTTCAGATTATCTTCCTGATTCTCTCAATATGCTCTGAAATTCCCTCATTTGACTCAGTTTCCACTTGTCAGTTTTTCCCACCCTACCATTTAGCATGCAATGTAGCCACAGTGAAACTCATACCTACAACCTTCTCTCTCAATGTCCCCTCACCTTTTTGCTGTGACTAATATCTGGATGTTCACTGAGAAGACTGCTTCTCCAGCCGTTATGACTCTTTCTTTCATTCCCTGTGGACTTAGAATCAGGGTACATGTCCTCCATGCACCTACTTTAGGTTCCCAAACATAGTTTTCTAGCTTCAACACTACTCAGTCTATCATAATTATTCTGATATAACACCCACCTGGCAAACTCACAAAGGTTATAACAGTTATATCCAACCCTGCCTAATCTCTGTGCAGGCACAGAAAATCATAAACAGTGCTGACTAGTCTTCTTAAAATTTATTACCAAGGCTTTAGTTGGTCCGTTTGTATGCCTAATACATTTTCTTATTTTAATGCTTTTTTCTAGAATCTGCATCAGAAATCACCTGGAGGGTGTGTTAAAACCCCCAGATTTCTGAGCTTCATTCCAAGGGTTTCCAATTCTGTGGATCTACAGGAAGGCCCCAAATTCTGCATAGCTGACAATTTCCAGGTGATGTTGATGATACTGATCTAAGGACCACACTTGGAGATCCAATGCTCTAGCCTTATTCTTTGAGATGATTATTTCATACCTTTTATGCTCTTCTAACAGCCCTTTAATATCTATTCTCAGTCTCAGATGATATTTTCCTTGTGCCAACAAAAAATAAAAGTTTATTTCATCCTGAACCTCTCTTTCATACTCTACATCCTACTCATCAGAAAGTCAATATGCTGATTGATGTATCATGGCTAATGATGAATCAGAGAGGACAAAGGAATATAACAATGCCAAGAAGAGGCTCAACTAGCAAGTAGCTGAATTGGGGTCTTCGTGGGGACATAAGGGCTCAAGAAGTCTTTCTTAATTGTCCAACCCCTGTCTGAGTATCCACATACCACCTACCAGGTTGTGTGAAAGCAGAACACTTGGCTTGTGAAGGAAGGGTCAGCCCAGAACCCTCACTATAAAGACGGCAATTGAGATAAAGGAAGTAAAAGAGTTGAAGGGTGGGGGGAGATGAAGCCCCCAGGAATCCCAAGTACCTTGGAGAAGTCTCAAGAATCCATTGAATGAGGCCATGATGTCAGTGCTGAGGTCACAGAGGTGACCCGGTGGAGTGGGTTCTGGTGTAGAAGGCTTCAGGGGTGGCTGTTCAGCAAGATGAGGGCAGTTTGGAGTCCTATTTAAGAGGAAGGACGGGGCCACAGCTGATCGGTATGTATTCCCCAAACCAGGTCCTTTAGGCTGCCCTTGCCCTTCATTCATCAACTCTCAACCTCTTTCCTAGGGCCTCAGATTTCCCTCCCATGATCCTCAACATCTCTCCAACCCTGAATCCTCCCAAGGCATCCTATCCCACGCCCTCAGAGCCCCTTCTGTGTGGACTCTCTGGTTCTCCCACCCTGAGCCCAAAGATCCTCTCCCTGCTCACCTTTCCTTTCACCACTGCCCAGAAGGATGATTTCCGTCTCCCCTCCCCCTTCTCCCATCTGTGTCCCCACAGACCTGGGCCTGCTGCTGCCCACTATGGCCAAAAGTGGAGAGGCCCTGCCACAGGGCAGCCCAGTGCTGGTCCAGGATCCCCACCTCATCAAGGTGACAGTGAAGACGCCTAAGGACAAGGAGGATTTCTCAGTTACAGACACTTGCACCATCCAGCAGCTGAAGGAAGAGATATCCCAGCGCTTTAAGGCCCACCCTGATCAGCTGATCCTAATCTTTGCTGGCAAAATCCTCAAGGACCCTGACTCGCTGGCACAGTGCGGGGTCCGGGATGGCCTCACTGTCCACCTAGTCATCAAGATGCAGCGTCGCACCATGGTCAACAAGTGCCCAGCTGCTTCAGTCCCTACCCCAGCCCCAAGCCCTGGGTCCCTCCCTCAGCCAAGCTCCATTTACCCAGTAGATGGGCCACCTACCTTTAGCTTGGGTGTCCTCACAGGCCTCAATGGGCTAGGCCTGACCTTGGGTGGTTTCCCTGACCAGCCAGGCTCCCTGGTGTGGCAGCACGTATCTGTGCCTGAATTTGTGGCTCAGATCATTGATGACCCCTTCATCCAGGGTCTGCTGTCCAACACAGGCTTGGTGCGCCAGTTGGTTCTTGACAATCCCCGTATGCAGCAGTTGATCCAGCACAACCCTGAAATTGGGCACATTCTCAACAATCCTGAAATCATGCGGCAGACACTGGAGTTTCTACGTAACCCTGCCATGATGCAAGAGATGATGCGCAGCCAGGACCGGGCGCTCAGCAACCTGGAGAGCATCCCGGGAGGCTACAATGTGCTCCGAGCCATGTATACAGATATTATGGACCCCATGCTTAATGCAGTCCAGGAGCAGTTTGGGGGCAATCCCTTTGCCACCACTACTACTGCTAATGCTACCAGCAGCAGCAGCCAACCCTCAAGGACGGAGAATTGTGACCCTCTCCCCAACCCCTGGACTTCCACATATGCAGGCTCAGCTGGCAGGAGGGGCTGGAGGCCTGGGGACCAGGATATATCTGCACTTAGAAATAGGGGTCCCAATATTCTGGGGAATATAGGCCTCTATGACTACCTCCAACAATTGCTTGAGATCCCCCAGTCCCTGGGAACCTATCTGCAGGGGATGGCATCTACCCTCAGTCCAAGCCAAGAACCACCTCCACCACCAGGAAGCCAAGTTCCTCCAGTTTCACCCTCATCCCAGGAACCTGAGTCAGGCCAGGCTCTCCCCAAGGAGTCAGTTGCAATCAAGGGAAAGCCCTCTTGCCCAGCCTTCCTGAGGTATCCCACGGAAAGCAGTGCTAGAAAAGATGGAGGTCAAGATGGTGCAGGGAACGGCTCCACTGGCCATAGCACCCACATGCCTGATCTTGTCTCCGGGTTGGGGCCTGCTACCAATAGGACCCCACTCGTCCCTTCCCCACCTTTGCCCACAGCAGCTACTGCTGAAATCCCTGAGCATGTCTGGCTGCCGCCACCAGCTTATCCAAGATCTCAGAGGCCAACCAGCATGAATCAGGCCCCACAGCTGCAGGACAAGATGCGCTGGCAACTGCCACAGCTGCTGCACCTTGAGGCAGCCATGGTAAACCCACGTGCTGTGCATGCCCTGCTGCAGATTGAGCAGGGTCTGCAGATCCTGGCTACGGAAGCCCCTCGCCTCTTCCTCTGGTTCATGCCTTGTCTAACAGGGCTGGGAAGTATGGCGGGAGATATAGAACCTCGAGAGAGTCCCCTTGTGCCTGGGGATCCTTCGCCTCCCCCAGCTCCTGAGGTTCCCTCAGCACAGGGCTCTATGGAGCTGGGCCTCCATTCCACCCCCTTCCTCCAGATGTTGCGAGCCTTGACTGGCACCAATCCCCAGCAGCCAACGCCCGAGACTCACTTCCGGGTGCAGTTAGAGGAACTGCGGGCCATGGGCTTCCTGAACCCTGAAGCCAATCTCCAGGCCCTCATTGCCACAGGAGGTGACGTGGATGCTGCTGTGGAGAAGCTGAGGCAGTTGTAGGAGCCGTAGTTGTTCAGACCGTATCTTACCCTCTGTGCCTTTCCCCCCATAGCTCCCTTCCCTAACTCCCCCCACCCCCAGTCATTCTTGAATGCAGCTGCACTATGAAGCAAATTTACTATGATACTCTTTACTGCAGAGACAATGTTGTTCCAGAGTCAATGAGAAAGAATGAGAGCCAGAACAGGGTGGGGGTGCTATAAGTGACCCAACCACCCCTGTCACTGTACCATCCTGGGGTCACGGTCTGAGATCTGCTAATGCCTAATGTGAGATGTAATTACATCCAATCTCCAATGCTGTCTGCTGCCTGAGTCTGATTCTTTGTGGGCTATGGGAAAAGAGGGACTGTATAAGAGGAAAGATGATGATAAGAGCTATCTCTGCATTGATGGGAGGGCTTGGGGGAGAAATTGAAAGGTATGAGGTTAAAAGCAAAAGAGTCACAGGGAACACAGGAGGATGAGCTGAGAACTGCAGCCTTCCATGTGTCCTTCCAAAGGTTCCCCAGATTTGGTGTCCTGCTGGAGCTGCCACCACATACTCTGCGTTCTTTGGGGCTCTCTACCACCAACCAGACTGAAAAGTGGGCACAGCTGCTTATTTTTAATGTCTCTGAACTCTATCCCACAGTTGGCTCTCAATTTTTGGATTTGATCCTGATCCCTGAGACAGCAACAGAGCAGGAATCAGGCTGAGTTCTAAGATTCCCTGATCTCATTGAGTTTACAAAGCTACTGTCCTTGGTAGCCAGATTTGTAGTTGATTTCACTGCCATGAATCTAGCTTGTCCTGGATTTTGTCTTTCTTATACTATTGCACTCAGAAATTGATTACCTAACCTATGCTAGGCATTCTGCTAGAGGTTGGGGATTCAGTGTGAGTAAAAGAGACATGATACTGCCTTCATGACTTTATGATGGTAGCTGAAACTGTTCAAACAGTACTCATTATATATAATCACAAGCTATGATAAGTGTTATAAAAGATGGGGATCTGTGAAACAGCAAAACAGAGGCTTGATCTACTCTATGGAGACCGGCAAGGCTTGTGAGTATGAACTCTAAGCTAAAAATCTAAAAAAGTGGTAAGAGTTAAGTAGGTAAAGTTTTGAGGGAGGAGGGAAGAGTATTCCAGTAAAAAAGTCATTATGTACAAAGGAGCTGAGGGAAGATGTGCACAGCACACAGGAGGTGCCTTCAGCCTCTCAGACCCATTTGCATTCAGGGATGCTTCCCAATACCCACATGCTTCTGGGGCAGAAGAGTTACAATTCACTTATCAAGTGGATGAACCATGGCTTCTAGCCCATAAATGTGCCCGTGGGTTCACATGGGTAAATACATCATGGAGTAATGCACTAATGCAAAATGCATATTCACACTTTAGTACACTTTCACATGGTCAAACTTTTGTGCTTGTGTCTGAGCATACACACAAAACACAGTCTGTTAGAGTTTTATCATAGATGTGTTAAAAAAAAAAGATAATGCTATATTCCTGTCAGGGCTTACCAGGTGGTGCTAGTGGTAAAGAACCCTCCTGCCAATGCAGGAGACATAAGAGATGCAGGTTCCATCCCCACATCAGGAGTATATCCTAGAGTAGGGCATGGCAAACCACTCCAGTATTCTTGCCTGAAGAATCCTATGGACAGAGGCACCTGGCAGGCTACAATCCGTAGTGTCTCAAAGAGTTGGACACAGATGAGTGACTTAGCAAGCACACATGCATAATCCAGTCAAGGTAAGAAAAGGGTTTTGAAAGAGAATATCACTATAGTAGAAAGTGGCCATGGTGTGCATATGTGTTTAAATGTCAGGGACTCAGCATTGGGAGTCCTTTTAGGGAGAAACAAAAACTCTGCCTGGAACCTAGGATACTTGAATCAACCTGCCTTTACCTGTTAGCTACTATCATGTGACTTAGAGATAAAATGAGTTTTGGGGGCAACTTTCTCCCATTGTTTCAGGTTTCAATCTCCAGTGGAGCACAAGGCTCCAAGACTCCTTTCTACTCCCTCTCCACTCCCCATCAGTGGAGGGGGGGTGGTTCTTGTCCACATCTAGTGAACTGTTGTTTATGGTGGGACTGGGCAGAAGGCAGAGGAAAGTCTTGCTTCTTCATTTCCTGTAACTAAGAAGGTTCCAGGCTGCTTTTGACTGCCAGAGTTATATATTGTAATCTCTAATTTCAACCCTTGGAAGTCAGATAGGTCTGAGAAAAACTCAGGGAGAGAAATGTTACTTTTATCTGCCTTTCATATGGGCCAAGAAAAGCCTGAGGGTTCATGTGACATAAATTCCAGCTTACCAGAGAAGGCTGTAGGTGGAAATCTGGGTCTAAAAGTTCTGGGTAGGGAAGAGAGTTCTCATTTATTAGATTGTTTTCTTTTCCTGAACTATGGAGAGCCCTTTTCAGTTCACTGGGTGTTTGGAATCTTTGCTCGGGCCTCATCAGAGACTGAACTCATCAGCCGATGTTCCGCTCCATGGTGAGTCCAAAGGAAGCAGATTCCTGGGGTGGGGAAGGTCACTGTCCACCCAGCAGCTGATATAGGACTTAGTACATGGGAAACATTCGGTAAATTATTGAATAAATGAAAGTTGAATGATGAGTGAAGAAGTGAATGACCAAATGATAAAGTGATTGAGGAGGTTAGGTAGATACGAATCAAATAAACAATCTCAGAGGACCAGGCCTTCTGCTTGGGAAAAATGACATTTTGGAGTTTAAGATAGAGGCGATGCCTGTAGGCTGAGGTTACTGGACGGGCAGGCCTCCAGAGATGTCACATTTATAGTCCTTGCTCTGACTCTTACTGCATCAGCTGTGCCTTGGAAGGACCCTACCTAAGAGGTTGGGTAGATGGAAGAGAAGCAGAATCATAATTTTGGTTATACTGGGCCTAGTATGACCTGAATATTCACAAAGAAAATGTACCCCTTCCTCAGACCAAGAGGTTTTCTAGGTCAAAGAGCAATGAACCTTGAAACGTTGATCTGTATCATAAATAGCCAGCCAGGCAGCTGGACAGCAATTTAAGAGAGAAGTATTAAAAACCAGAAAGTGTTTTTATGTATTTATGTTTTTTATTATTTGATGATGTTTCCCTAATATCTCTGTTATAAATACATGGGTACATTTTTTTTCTGGATATCTTAGGGTTTTACTACTTAAAATTAATTTTAAATCACAGTTAATATTATTGAGGCTTTCCTCTAGCCAGCCCCTCTTCCAAGCTCTTTACATCTGAATCCACACAATTATCTTTTATTCCGAACTTCAGATGAGAAAAACGGAGGCATAGAGAGAGAGAAAGTACATTGCTTAAAATTGTACAGTTCTTGCATAATAGAGCCAGGATTTGAAATTAGACAATGTACTTCCAGAGTCTACAATCTTAGCTGCTGCAGTAAATCAAGTTACTTAATACTTTAATTCTTACCCACGGAAAGTAAAAAGGGGCAGGATTTGTGGTCTTTGTTTGGAATTTTTACACCCCTGATTCCTGCAACTATCTACACTGGATTGAAATATTTTCATTACCATATCCTGTGTATGTGTACATGTGTATTTCTGGTATTAAAAAAAAAAAAGAACAGCATGAGAGTTGCAAGATATCAAGGGACACAGCATTTCAGATGTTAATCACTCTAAGAAACTGCTCCAAAGAGGTAGGGGGAAGGCAAGTATATATAAGTGATTTTGGTGAATGGGTGAATGGTGAATTTGGTGAATGGTACATGCAAAATCAAGAACATATTTTTACAGAAAGTCTTATAAGGGTTACTGCTAGTCATGAGGAGTAGACATCATCGTGAAGAAATTTAGTGCTTTTCTAGGTATGAGGAGATGCAAGAATTGGGCTAATTGGCTCCGGAAAATAGTTATCTGAAGACACGTCCTGCCGCTTTCTCCAGAGCAAAGAGTGCCTCATTTCTGCTCTCCACCCTGAACTCCCTTCAGGGCCGTTGAAAGTTAGCAGCAGCACACAGTTTAATCCTTGTAGAGGTAGATGACATGTGCCGAGGGCAAGTGTCCATTTGTAGTTGACAGTATTTATGTTTTTTTTTTTTAATTTAATCTGCTAGTTCTACATGAAAGCGTTAAAGTTTAAGCAGTCAGTCCAAGGCCCTTTAAGGAGGGGGTGAACATTCTCACTCATGCTTTCCTAGCTTTGCAAAGCAATGCATCTACCCAAGAACTGGCCTTTCTTTAGCTAAGGTCACACAGCACACTAATGGTCACACAGAACAATGTCTTACTCAGGGAAATGCTTTTCTTAGTCTCCATGCTAATGATTATAACTGTAACAACCCTTGCCTGGCAACCTGTTTCTTCAGACTTGTACCCCTGATTACACAGCAACAGTATATCTAGCCCAGAAACATTGCCTGGAAGCTTGGCTAATCTGTGCCAAAGTTATCTCAGGATGTATGCCTTGGGAAAGGGTCTGGTGGAACTCTTACAGTCTTGAGGTATTCTTTTTATCTATTCTCAGCAGCTAATTGAAAAGTATATAAGGCCCCGCTTAAACTAGTGAGGCAGGTACTCTCCTGCCCGCTTCTAATGTCTATGTCAGAAGTTTTCTCGGTCCTGTCACTCTAAACAAAATTTTGCACACAAAGCTCTCAGTGACTGAGACCTGTCTTTGGTCTCGGAATTATATCTTCCTCAGAGATCATGAATCCAGTGGCATTTTCACTATTCACTGTAAGCTATCATCTTGGGGACTCATCCAGGATCTTCAAGACTCAGAGCTGGGACTCTTTTGCTCTTTTACTGTAAAGTCTCTGCTTTACTAACTCAGAAGCATACAGACTGAGCTTCTTTTACCCATCAGCTTTTCCTGGTTTCTCTGACCATTTCATAACTGCTTGGGGAATTAAAGTTACTGACCTAATGTGCCAGATTATAGACTTTCAGGGGACTTGCAATCCATGCTGTTATTGTGTTTTTCTAGCAAGACCCTCATTCCAAGTTTTATAGGACACTGCAGGCAGGAACACATTAGGGATCTAGCTGGAGCTCTAGTTCCAGGGACATCTCTCAGACCTGAAATCATCATCCTGACCCCAGAGACCCAGAGACAAATTCTTGTCATGGCTATGCCTCCGGACTGTGTGGATGGAGACATTACTGGTGAGCATGAGATTCCTGAGGACACAGATCAGGGAACCCCAGATTTGGGCAGATTGGAAGTGCAGCAGGCTTGTTCCCTTGGTAGCACTAGCTCTTAGAGGACCACAGAAAACCCTCCAGTGGCTCTTGTTTCAACTCCTTAGGTCTTTTTTTTGTATAATCTGCTGGACAGGAATAGAAAAATTGGCCTTGACACTTCAAGAACTCGAAAGATTATTTTTTCCTCACAGGCTGGCCCTCTATCACCTCCTCTGTTATTACATAGACTCATGTGGCAACTCTCAGAAGAAATGTCTTGGGTTTTCTCTTCTTCCCTTTGTAACTCCCCTTTTGATTTACAGCTTCTCCTGTGGTCAGGAATATGTTCAAAGATGTGCACAGGCACATAAAAAATGGATGCTTCCCCTAGTGGTCTTAGTTTGGGAGACATTCCAGAGGCTACTCTGTTCCACCCTGGGTGGCACCAGAGGAAAAGGGGAAATCAAGGCAAGGTTTTAATAGTGAGAAACTGGACATCAATCTGGGATGCCATCAGGTCTAACCCTGGTGCATCTCCACCCCTCCTTGGTGGTAAAACAGGGAGGGATGATAGTGAGATGCCTGCATCAGTAAGAGATAGGTTAACTTCGGCCAGGGAAGGGAGCTTAGGTGGAAGACCTGTCTCCACACCCATCTAGAGCAGGGAGGGATGCCTCTGGTAGAAAAAAGCAGTGCCCAGTGCCGTGGCTGGGCCACGGCACTGGGCACCGCTTTTTTCTCTCATACAGATGGGAGCTAACAGTTCCAGAATCACCCCTTTGAATTGTATCTTAGAAAAACTGGGATAAGTTTGATCCCCAGAGCCTAAAAAGTCCCTTATATACACACTTTCTTTGCTATAAGAGAAGACCTCACCTGCCCAGAGAGACAATCCCTGCTGGTACAACATCTCATCAGTTAGTCTACCCCTGTCATCAGAGCCAACTTGAACACTCTCTGGTTTAAAAATTTTAGATATGAAATTATGACTACAGAAAGGAGGGATGGCATTTTTGACATTGAATGGCCATGATATTCTTTAGCCTCTGGAGAAAACTGGTTAAAATGAAATCTTTTTGAAATTGAAAAGCGGGTTCTTTTTGCACATGCAATTAGGAAAAAGCTGGCTTATTAAAATACTTTTTTTGGAGCTCCAACCCTGCCTGAGAAACAGAAACATACCTGGGAAAAAACCTGAAGTTAACTCTTATCATGTCCTTGAGATACACAGCCCACTCTCTCTGGGACTCTTGCCATGACCAAATTGGTAGAACTTAAAGTCAATGGGGAAAAAAAGGGGGTGGGGGGTGGTACAAAGAGACATTTTAAATTTCAAGCAGAAAATTGTGAGGTCTCTCTCTGTCCAGATTTATGTGTGTCTTAGTGTGTCTCCATCCTTGGACAAAATTGCTGAGGGCTAATTGATCAGTGAGCTGTATTTAGTTGGCCTAAAGAGAAGAGCTTAAGCAAACAGTTCTAAAATCAAGAAAACTAAACAAAATGAGTTTCAGTCTTACGTAAACTGGGAAATATTCACTATTGAATTGATACCTGGTATTGATATCTGTTTATTGATCTAATTAACACAGACATTGTGAAGATACTTTTACAAATGACATAACTTTGGGTAATTTATATTTACCAATCTACAAAATGACAATATAAAGTACAGTTCATGGTTGCTAAAGGAAAGTAAGATGTGCGTTTCTAATAAAAAGATATAAGGAATGGAATTACATTCTATTAAGGAAAAAGAAAGTAAGTCTAAACCCACAGGTGACTGACTCATCTCTAAAACTGGCAAAGGATGTGATAAGTGCAGAAAGTATAAAAAAAAAAGGTTTGTGTCAAGTGGAAGAGAGTTCTGTGCATGGTACGTGTTTCTTAAGACATTAACCTGAGCTTTGAACTCTTTTACTGTTACTTTGACTAAGTGAATAACTATTGTTTCACAGTGAATGTAAGCTGGTACCAAAGTGGAATTTGATTTTCTTTCCCTGTTAAAAGAACAAAGTTTTCTTGGAATATGGCTTTTGATAACAGACTATGGCACACATAGAAAAAACTCACTCTGCTTTTACAAAAATTAACCCCTCATCAGAGAGTTTACAATGGATGAACAATGGCTATAAACCAAAGAGCTGGGGCTATGGGAAATCCAAGACGGCCACTTGGCTTTTCCCGGCTCCCTGACAAACTTACTTTTATTTGATAAGAAAAAGCCTTTCCTGGCTTCAGGGTTAATGTCTCACAATGGAGAAGACATGGTTAAAATGTGTTTTCTATAATCTCCAGTGATTGGAGCACCCACTTTGCTGGACAGGTCGTACA